GCATGAAGAGAGGTTGAAGGCCATGTGCTACGGACAACTCATTTCTCAAAGCACTCGACGCAGTCTCACAACCACAAATATACAATATTACAAATTCACAGCCGTATTTCCCAACCAACTCTTATATAATAAGATATGTCATGCATATTTGATCAAGAGAAAAAAAAGATATGTCATGCATGAACCACCGTATATAGCTAGCTAGATTAATCATCATAAGTTTTCTATTTTTTTGAAAAAAAAAATATGATTCCTAAGTTTTATATTAAAAATCCTAATTTGTATGCGTTGGTTTCTTTTTGGTCGTATATGAAAATATGTATTAGTTTTGCAAAACAAAATTCATAAAAACACTTGAATGTATACTGTATAGCTAGCCACTTGAATTTGATTTATGATTATTCGAGAGGAATGCGAGGCTACATTCTCCTGTTAAGAAGCCTCAGCAAGTTGTTTCCAAGGAGATTCGGCTTCTTATTAGAGCTAAGCTTGCTAGACTAGATAGAATGGTTGGTGGTCACGAGCTTCTCTCATCTTCTACTATGCATCGTGACGATTCCGAGACTTTTCTTTTAACTTGGTTCAGATATATCCAATTCTAAAGGGTTCCTCTTTCCTTCCTTGATTCTTGATCAAATAGTTGTTTCACATGTGCTTCTATAATCTATTATAATGTAATTTGATTTTCTTTAAGCTTTCATCTTGTTGTAATTCAGAATTGATACCGATTTTGGGGAAGATGAATAAAGGAAAATATTAAAAAAAAAAAAAAATTCATAAACTTTCACTTTTAAAACTTAAATTAAACTTGTTTTGTATTTTATTCAACCGTATATGTCTCTGGATTGATTGTTTTACCTTATTGAAAGCAGAGTAAATAAATATATATACATCTTAAGAATTTTTTGGATTGGATTGATAGTGTATTTAGCGAATGTTACTGTCTTCATATAGCTTGTCATCTTAAATGGGTTTTTGGTTTAATTTTGTCTCTATTACTTAATACGAGAAAAGGTCAACTATACTATGTCCATAGATATTTTCTCAGATTAAATTATTGAGATAGAGGAAGGGACATGACATAACATTGAGTTATAACTTATTTTAAATTATCTTGTGACCGAATAACTAAATATCACCCGCCTACGAGTCTAGTAATCACTTTGACATGAATAGAAAAATAGTCATTATTTGAATAATTAAATCGCCCGCCTATGACGTTGAGTTGATCTTATGCAAAAAAAAAATTGTAAGTTTGGTTTATTAGTAAGTAATTAATCAAGTTAAAAGTTTTGTTTTTTATATAGTTTGTTCTTTCTCTAAAGTGATTAACACACAAACTAGTTAAGGTCCATATATCCTCATGCTATGTTAATTTAATTAAGGATCAGTAATGCATCATGCATGTATGCCAAATTGCGTTTTTTTTTTCAGTTGTTTAAACAACTTTCATATTAATTATTCATTAGATTCTTTTAAAGTTGTCCACCAAACTCACACTTACTCTTGTTTTGAATATCGTCTAGTTTTTTCATACGCGAAGTTTGATAGTTCGTTCTCTTTTGCTATTATTTAGATGATCTTTACACAAACCTCTCCATGAAGAACAAGACTTATTGTTAAAAAAAAAAAAAAACAAGACTTACATATTAATTACCAAAAAGAACACCATTATTAAAGAATCAATCATGCATTTCACTCATTTTATGTCTTTTGTTTTCTTTCAAAAAGCTATATTTTTTGTACTTTAATTATATATATTTTTGATCATGCTTTATTATTTTCATCTACCCAATATACAAGCTTGGCGGAATCTTCGCTTTCACTTTTCATTTCCACTAATACGAGGTTCTTGCATGTATCAGATAATACCATTTTAACTTCATATAGGTTAAATTTCACATACTTTTAATTGAAAATACATAATTAGTAGATTGGTATATATTTCTCAGATATATAATTTTGTGCCTCATATCATATATATATTGGATATGAGATTTTCTAGCTGATCGAAATTCGAATTGATGGTTTTCTACCAATTTAACATAATCCCAAATCATAGGATTAGATCGGCCATATTATTTTTCGGGTCAATTTTTTTTAGATCGAATCGATCGATATACATATACATTGATGACATCATCACATAACAAAACAATTCAATTATGGGCAATTACAAAAATACTATTTTTGTATGCACATTTGCAAGAATGTCAGTTAGAGGTGTTCATTTACAAAAATACCACTAATTATAGATTTATAAACTCTATATCTTAAAATTCTAAACCCTAAAAAATGTTTTGACACTTAAAACCCCCTAAACACTCAAAACTAAACTTTAATAGAACATAATTAACTCAAACATAAATAATATAAAGAAAAAATAATTTTGAAAAAATGGCATTTTTGTAAAGATTTCAAAAATATAACATTTTTGTAAAATGACACTTGAAAAGTGATATTTTTTTAAATTTCTATTCAATAATACTAGCTTATTACATGAGCATGAGGTGTAGTAAAACTTATTCAGGACAATAATGATATGTATAGGAGACGACTTTTTTTCTATTATGATCGAGAGCGATAATAATTGAGGGAGAAACATGCCAATAAAAATGTGAAACCCGAAATACAATAGTGTATACATAAAACTGACCCTTTACTTCTACATTCTGTAATTAAATAAAACTTCTATTTATTACATCATTCACTCCGATAACAAGACTTTGCATTTCGCATCATTATTACTTTACTATTTTTTCCCTCTCTCTGTATGCATAGTACTCCATATTTAGCTTATTAATTATATCCATCACGACATTTGTATATATTCATAGTCTAGGTTCAACGATCATTATTCATCTTAAACAGTTGATACAAATAATAAATGAAGAAAAACTAGTAATTTACAATTTTATGATAATATAATGAGATTAATGAACGGCTAAGATTCATCCATGTAATAAAAACACATTTTGTCTTCTTTCTTTGTTTTGTTATTGTACTGGTTTAGGTGCTCAATTTGTTCTGTTTACCAAAATTGATCTAGGGGAGCTTTTGGGTAAGAGTATCGGTTTGAAAAAACCGCATCAGCAACAAACCGGTTAGCAGCTTCGGTATAGTGAACCCCATCCCATACAATTGCTTTGGATACGTCACTACAAATAGTTGAACCGGGTTGACCACAAGTCGCTTTACGATCGTAATTGTTTGGTTTTCCTCCAAACCCGCAACAAGCCATCAACGGATCGACAAATCCTTAAACCACAAAAATGAAATTAACCAATTATAAGACCGGTTTCGACTTTGTTACGAAAATGTTAAAAAAATCTTAGAAAGTGTTATTCGTGTGTATT